TTTGCGAAATTTATGCAGCTTACTTAGCAAAAGAGTGAGCTCTGCATTGTTCAATGAAGCATTAAAAATAACAGGATGAGTGGAGTTTTCTCTAAGGAAGGCGTACCTTAGCCCTGCATGGAGCTGTTTAAGCTCACCTTTTGGTGCTTTTTCTGCACTCTAATCACCCATTGTAGCAGCTTTCGCAGATGTGGTGACAAGCTCATCATGTGCAACCAGTTGCATCACTTGTGCAGTAGCATCTATCATCTTTGTGTAGCATGTTGCAGCAGCATCCAAATGCTCATACTTTGCTGTAGAAGTGGTCAACGCCCTCTCCAAGGGGTCTTCTGAACTCATTTCATGGAAGATATGATCAGCAATGTCTGTGAGAACATCCACATAAAAAGTCTGTCCATCTATGGTTGGTCTCTTCATCAGCTTATCCATTTCGAATTTCATCACTAAATCACTAACAATCAACTTTATTCTATCCTTCCTGACGTCAACGATAGCTCCTGCAGTAGCCAAGAAGGGTCTGCCAAGAATCAAGGGGTCTTTGGATTATTCTCCATATTCCAGAACCACAAAAATCGGTAGGAATCATGCAATCTCCTACTTTGATAGGAACATCCTCTATCACTCCTTCAGGAACTCTAACTGATCTATCAGCTTGGACAAAAGATATCCTTTAGCCTTAAAATCGGTCATCCCTAAGCTCTTGGCAACATAATGAGGCATAAGGTTCACACTAAAACCAAGATCACACAATGACCTCTCAAACCTGTCAGAAAAGATTGTGCAGTCTAAAACAAAGCTTCCAGGGTCTGAAAGCTTCTCTCATACTCTGTTCTGAATCACTGCACTGACTTGCTTGTTGATCATCATAGCTCCAGCCTCTAAAATCAAGTTATTGGTCATCATTCTCTTCACATACCTCCTTATAACAGGAGTAATCCTCACAGCATCAATCAATGGGATCTCAATAACCAACTTTTCCATGATAGCCTTGCATTTAGCATCTTCAAGCTCCTATTTAAGACTTCTTAGAATGCTTAGGATAGGGTATCTTGGGCTTATACACTGTCTCCTTAGCATTATCTGAAATCTTAGACGAGACTGTGGTATGTTGCAACGGGTGACGAGCGTCACCGGATGGGTGACGAGCGTCACTTGTTTTGGACAAGTCGTGGTTGTTTGCTCGATTTAGGTGACGAGTGTCACCCTCCTGGTGACGGTCGTCACAAATCTGTGAAGAAAAATCGTCGGGGTTCTGCTCAATGGGTGACGAGTGACACCCATTATTGGTGACGAGCGCCACCCGTGAATTTTCAGCAGAAATTTCTTCGTCTTCATATTCTTCAATACCCACAAAATTTATTGAGCTTAAATCCTTCTGCAACACTGATTGCAGGTTCTTTCCACTCCTCAATGTGATGGCATTCACATGGTGTTTGGGGTTAGCATCAGTTCTTCTTGGAAGAAATCCTTATTGCCTATGAACAACTCCTGTAGTTTGGGAAACTTGAACATCAAGCTTCTTCATATGAGAGTTCAGACTCTCAATTTTCCCATTCAAGTCCTGATAGAGCAAATCTATCTTGCCATTGAAGTTCACTGTCAGATTTTGTTGTCCTTCTAGGATCTGTTCCAGCATTGCTTCCATCTTGTTCTCTTGTAGAGGTGCAGATTGGTAGGAAGAACAACCATAACTCCTGTTGAAATTTCCATTGTTCTGGAATGGTTTATGGTACTCTGTCTTCTGGAATGGAGGCTTAGGAGTATAACCAGGAGTGCTCTGATTTCCTGTGAAGGCATTCTTCTGATTATTGTTGTTGTAGCCTCTGTTCCATTGCTGATTTCCATACCTTTGACCCTGAAAACTGCCAGAATTGATGAAATTCACATCTTCCTGCTCAATCTCCTCTGGACTTTCGTAAGTCTCCACCTCTGCAGCAAAATAAACTGACTTCTTTCCCACCAAGAGACTGTGCATACTGTCCAGATTAGCTTCAACTTCAGCAATCTGATTTCCATCATCCAAACTAGCTTGTTTCATCCTCTAAAAATCTGCATTCTTGGTGCTGTTGCTGCATAATAAGTTCTCAATCAACCTGATTGCCTTTTCTGGTCTGTTGGTGTTGAAGTTTCCAGCACTAGCTGCATCCAGCGCCATCTGGTATTCCCAGTCAATGCCTCTGAAGAAGATCCCAAGTAGCTGCACCTGACTGAAACCATGATGAGGACAGTCCCTTTGATAAGACTTGAATCTTATCCAAGAAGCCTTAAAAGCTTTAGTAGAACCTTGTGTAAAGGATGCAATTTTCGTCCTCATGTCTTTTGATCTGGCATCATCAAAGAAGTTGTTGAGAAAAGCATTCTTAGTGTCTTCCCAAGTGGTCAGTGAAGCAGGTTCCAGTTGCTTCAGCCAATATACAGTCTCTCCTCTAAGAGAGTAAAGGAAAAGCTTGCAGAACAGAAAGTCATTGGTAACTCCATTAGCTTTGACACTTGAAGCTAAATCCTCAAACCTCTCAATGTGATTCGTAGGATGCTCATGAGGTAAGCCATGAAATGGATGCTGGCCAACCAGCTGATAGTGGACAGGTTTAAGCTCAGAATCGTTCCTCTGGAAGGCAGGAGGGCGGATAGCAGCTCTGTTGGCATATAACTGATCAGGTCTGTTGTAGTCCCCTAAAGTCCTCTGTACAAAATGCCCAGCAGCGTTATTGGCAGGAACAGGGACTCCAGCGTCTTCTGCTACTTGTTGAACCTGCTGTTCAACAATGACATTCCCATCTTGATCAATCCTCTGCCCATCTTTGTTCCTCCTGTTTCCTTCTCTGTCAACCAAGTGACCTTCTGCATCTTCAACCAAGATCAGTGGAGCAACCATTGTAGACTGTTTCTTAGCTTTCCTGTTAGTCCTCTCCAACCTAGCGAGTTTGTCGATGCTCAAAGGCACAAGCTCTTTCTCTTTATTGCTTCTGGTACAGCGATTAAGCATACACCTGAAACCAACACAAAGAGAAGAAACTGAAACTTAGTAAAAAAATTAACACTTAGACAAAATTCTAATACTAAAAATCGATAGGCAGCTATTACTTCCCAGCAACGGTGCCAAAAACTTGATAGGGCCCAAGTTTTACCCAAATAAAACTACTACAAGTGCACAGCAAAGCAGTTGTAGTACAAGGGGTATCGAATCCCAAATGAGTATGTAAACTACACTATCGAATGTAGGTTTAGATTAAGCTAAGCGATAAGTAATGAATGTAATGCAAAATAACTAAAGTAATAAAAGCAAGTGGGCGTTTTATGCTTGTTCGTAAAGTTCAGAAAGCTAAAGGCGCTAAGTCAGGACAATTCGCAGGTTGAATCCGAGAATGTAGAATGCATGCAATCAGGAATGAGTTAAAACCATCTTGAACATGAATATCAAAGATATAACTAATCAATTCTCATTGCAGAAGTTATCTATGTCTAAATCATAAAGTTTCAAATCTCTTTGCAAACCCTAACAATCTAAACATGTAGTAATGATCAGGTTCAATTGTTCACAAAATTCTTAAACCAAATCACTTTGCACTAGGGCGTTTTGCTCATCTAATACTAGTTCAGGTGATTAATAATGCACTTACATCTATCAAACAACCTAGGGTTTCGAAATCCAGATGATGTGTCTAAGAAATCGATATGAATGCAAGCACAGATGAAGAACCAATGGATTTTCCTAATAGTTTAGCAATTCTACAAACTCTTCTTCAACCTTTGAAAAGCCCTAACTTAACTAACAAACTACTCAGACATGGTGATTTGAGAAAACATCATGATTAGAATAAATTGCATAAAAGAAATAAGAAATAGAAGTAAAAGAGTTCGAAATCTGTTCTGAAGGAGTCTGATTTGTCTCTCCAAAAGCTCTGCTACAAATCTCTCTCTAAAACTCTCTAGAATAATAAGATACAAGATATCTGCCAAAAGAATGGCTGAAAAACCTAATATACAAGCTAAAACACGATATGTGGTCTTTTTGCATATACTGAAATTTTTGGGCCAAAACTGCAATTTCTTTCCAATCTTTTAGAAACCAGCCACGACCCTTTCTCTAGAGGTGACGAGCGTCACCAGCTTGGTGACGAGCGTCACCCAAATGCATCTTTCTTCTCCAAGCTGGACACTTCATGGCTTCAACTTGTAATGCTCCAAAAGACTTCAATATCTCCAATTATGCTCCAGACATGCTATAACCTGCAAAGACTCTATTATGATTCTAAAAAGACCAAAAAGACTCAATAAAAAGAATTTATATCATGGTTAAAAACCATAAAAACCATGATATATCACTTCACCTAAAAAAAATGTAAGGCAATCCTATGAACTCAAAAATCACCCGCAATATAAGACTCGTCTATATCAATGACGTCGACAAATAACATTTCTGCTAATTTTTTAACTGAAATCAAAACTATGTCGTTTTTGATAAAATAAAAATAATTCTAAAATTGTAAAGCAGAGAATCAAACCCAGGTTCGGGACTAGAAGAGAGACAACTTACCAATTGGGCTACATGAAATATTTGATAATATGGTAAACAATAATAATTATAACGCTTTTATCTAACTTTCCCACAAATAAACTATTCACATGTCTTCTTCACAAATAAAATACCAAATCGAATTCGAAATTACTAGGTGGTATTAATCAAGTTTAAAACTCAAAAACCCATAGTCGATTCGATTTGGTTGTCGGAGCCAAGGTCAAAATCGATGCTTGATTGGCGAAGAAACGTAATAGAATCGAAAATGTCAGAACCAAGGTCAAATTTTTGGAAATTGAACTGCGAGATGCAGTATTTGTTCTCGGATCCACAGTTCGAGAGGGTCATTTCGAAAATCAAAGATGGATTGGCAAGGGCAGAAAATGGCGGAGCAGTTAACGCATATCTTATTTTTGATCGCCGTTGTGTGGTGTTTCTTGTTTGTTACACGACGGCTTTTTTAGGACGATGATGTTGATTTATGTTGAATGTGTTCCTCTTACGGTTTAATCTTGTACACAGGAATTCAGAAATAGAATGGAGGTGAAGGAGACGAAGAACTGTAGTGATTTGATAATAATTCAGTGTTTGAGTTTTATAATATCAATGCTTCGGTTTATCATTTAGCAATATAATTCAACTAGCACTATTGATTAAGCACGTCTTTGGTTTTATTTGAGTATGCAGGTTTGATTCCTGTTTCAAATATTTTCAGAAATGATTTTTTTTTTTTTAGTCAAAAAATTAACAACGGAAACGTTATATGTAGACATCGATAATATAGACGAGTCCTGTATTGCAGATGACTTTCGAATTCATTGGATTGACTTGCATTTTCTTGAAGTGAGTTTTTTTTGTAAAAAAAAATTAGTCTAAGAGTTTTTTTTGCAATAATCCTTTTAATTATTTATATATATTATGTATATAACTCGCGTTACGCGTGAATCTGTATTAATTTTTTAGTTTATTTTTTTTAGCTACTATCTTTAAAATTATTAAAAATTATATATATTTATAGAAATTTTCATTTATATAAGAGAAATTAATATATAATGTGTAATTTATCCTATTTTTATTTATAAATTTTAAGAAACTATTAGGTCAAATAATAACAATGACACCTATCGAATTATCTAACTTTGACGTACATATATATTTTATTTAGAGAAATATAATCTTGCTAAGATTTTAGTATTATTTTATGTTTTCCATAGAATTTCTATAGTTCTTTTTTTTCTTGAAGGTTTATGTGTTCAAATATTTATTTTTTTATTGAAAGTCTTATTGATGTTGTGTACCACTGTATATATAATCCATGATTCATGTTGATTTGCATTTAGTTTTGTTAGGAAGTTGTAATGATAATGCAAAACCATTTTTCTTCTCCATCATGTCTTCCACGAGTTTTATGTTATATTTTTATTCAGTTTTCATTGTTTTTTTTTTTTTTTGTCAACAGCCTCATCCTTCTATAATGGTGTTAACCATTCTGGTGGGGTTGAGTTTACAAAATATAGCTGATAAAGGTGGTCTCGAGCACTCCTTGCCAATTTGTCCGCCTTTTTGTTCTGCGCCCTTGGTATCTTTGTTATTGAGGAAAAGTGGAACTCTCTTCTAGTGACTTCATATTCCTCCAAGTGTAGTGCGAAAGCTGGCCACTCCTTCGGATTTGACACCATTTCCACTAATTCTGAGCTAAATTGTACTGCCTTCCTCCCATCATCTAACATACAGTGCATTGCCCATATCAAAGCCTCAAAATCAGTATGCAAAGGGGATAGGTTTTTTCCTATCTTGCGTGCACCCATTAGTGTGTCCAGGGTATCTGTTCCTTGACTATACCAACCTAACCCTGCATTTAAAACATCTTTTTTCCATGAACCATCCGTACAACAGGTAAACTCCGCTAAATTGCTATTTGTATTATGGTTGGTCTGTGGGGCCTTTATACTTTGATCCTCAGTATGTGCTGTCTCCCACGCCTTGGTCTCCGCCATTGCTAGTTTAACCAGTTCCTAAGGATTCCGGTTAATATTAGAGAATAGTTTATCATTCCGCATTTTCCAAATATACCATAGTAACCAGGGATAAATATTCATGTCTTCATGATTTGGTAAATGCCAAAATAAATGTGCCATGTTTGAAAACAGGCCATCCACTGGAAACCCTAGTATAGGCGTAGGTATTGGTGACAACGCCCATACCTGAAGTGTCGGGGGGCACTCGAATAACGTGTGATTTATTGTTTCCTTCTCCGCTCCACAACGACTGCATTGTAGATCACAATTGATTCCCCTAGCTTTTAGTCGTGCTGTTACTGCTAAATATCCCAACAGGGCTTGCCACAGAAAATGTTTTATCTTGGGTGGACATTTTATCTTCCATACATGGGCCTATAATTTACTGATATATGGCCCATATGGTCGTATATATTCTTTATCGGGGTAAAGTTGTTCTATCAAATATCCCGATTTCACTGTATACCTCCCCGTCTTTGTGAAATGCCATCCCCATAAATCTGGATGGGGTTCCCGAGTTGTTGCCATTGCAGTGATCACAAATGTCCTCAGGAATTATCAGTTGTTCTAGTAATGGTATATTCCACGTTGAGGTTACTGGGTCAATCAATTGATTAACTGTTAGGTTGGGGTAATAATTATACCCCTTCCATGAAGCTGGTCTCGGGCGTGAGGATGGGATCCATGGATCATTCCATACTGATATAGAATGACCCGATCCCACTCTTTTGATGAGCCCTTTTTGTACCAAAGACCTAGCCGATGTAATGCTTTTCCATCCATACGAGGGAGAATAAGATCTTATTTGATCTAGAGGTGTGCCTTCTCTAAAATATCTTCCTTTGAACACCTTCGCGAATAGAGAATCAGGATGTTCGATAAGACGCCATAGTTGTTTTGCCAATAAGGCTGTGTTAAAATCCTCTACTACCCAAAAACCCAGTCCTCCTTCTGGTTTCGACTTGCACAATTTATCCCATGCCATCCAGTGCATTCCCCGTGTTCTGCCATTATTACTCCACCAGAACTTAGCCAATGTACTAGTTAGTTTAGTAGTTAATGTTTTTGGTAGTCTAAAGCAAGACATAGTATATGTAGGCACCGCGGAGGCGACTGATTTAATAAGAACCTCTTTCCTGCCTCTTAAGAGTAACTTGTCCGTCCACCTATTGACCCGTTTTTGTTGTCTCTCTACCAGGAAGTTAAAAATCTTTGTTTTAGCGTCTCCCAGGCTTTCTGGAATCCCCAAGTACGTACTCATGCCTCCAATAGTGGTGATCCCCAGTATGTTGTGTACGAGTTCCCGTGCCATCTGAGGGACTCTGTGTCCAAATTGAATAGATGATTTCGTGAAATTGATTTGTTGACCCGAGGCTAGCTCATACTGTTTAAGTATATCCAGTAGTGCCTTTGCTTCTGCCTCTGATGCCTTGCAGAAGAACAGGCTATCATCCGCGAACAATATATATGAAACTGCCGGGCTTGTCCTTGCTACTTTCATTCCCGTAATTTGTTTTTCCCGTTCTGCTTTCCTCAGATTCGCAATAGTACTTCTGTGCATATAATGAATAGGTAAGATGATAGTGGGTCCCCCTATCTAAGTCCCCTTTTTTGTTGGATATTTTCTTTCGAATGCCCATTAATAAGGACTTTGTACTGAACTGATTCGATACACCATCTTATCCATGCAATCCATTTCTCCGCGAATCCCATTTTCCTGAGTAGTTGTACTATGAAGTCCCATTCCAACTAGTCATAAGTTTTACTCATATCTGTCTTGACAGCCATAAAGTTTTTTTTGCAGGAGTTGTTGGTCTGTAAGCCATGGAACATTTCTTGTGCTATTAAAATATTATCTGAAATGAGCCTTCCTGACACAAATGCTGATTGTGTCTCCAATACCAATCGTGGTAGTAATCTTCGCAGCCTTTAGCATAGAAATTTTGACATTATTTTGTATCCAACATTACAATGACTAATAGGTCTTAATTCTGTCATCCGAGTTGGCCGTTCTGTCTTGGGAATGAGACAAATATTTGTCAGATTTAGTCATTTGTCAAAAATCCTTGTGGTAAAAAATTGATTCACCATGAGTACCATATCTTCCTTAATTATATCCCATGATTTCTGAAAGAAAAGTGCTGTCATCTCGTCTGGTCCCAGGGCTTTTGTTGGATGCATCATGAAGAGCGCATCTTTAACTTCTGTCTCTGATGTCGGTTTAATAAATTCTTTATTGTCCTGATCCGTTATTTCCAGACCCACTTTCGAGAGTACAGCCTTAAAGTTCGATGGTGAAGAAGATGTGAAAAGGTCAGAGAAATAATCTACTGCTACTTTTACCACCTTGAATTCCCCAGTTACCCAAGCATCTCGATTATCATGCAGGCCAACTAATCTATTTATAGCTCTTCGTTGTGCAGTAATCGCATGATAGAATTTGGTATTAAGGTCCCCACATTTGTTCCAAAGATTTCAACTCTTCTGCTGCCAAAATTATTCCTCCTCAATATACGCCGCTTTCAACTTTTGGATTGTTTCATTAAGTTCTTCTTGCGTGCATGTATCGTCTGATTGTATTTCCTCTATTTGCCGTTGTAGGTCCTCTATTTTATCTCTTCCATATGGTGAAGTGGTCTGGCGCCTTTTAGATATTTTGTGTCTACATGTACTTATCATATCCACCACGGAAAGGTTTGCGTTTATATTACCTTCCTGCCAACCTTGTTTTATTGTTTTAATTGTTAAATTGAGTTGTTGTAAATTTTTTTTAATTGATAATTGATAATGGTTACTTTTTTTATATATGTATTGTTAATTGTTAATTTTTTATTTAGCTTTTAAATTTTTAAACTATATTAACATTTTCTGATTTAATAAATATGTTGATTTGGATCAATCAGATTGAATTTACTTTTTTTGTTGGACATAATTTATTAAATTAACTTTTATTGTTTTAATTATACTTAATAATTTTTGGTATGATTTAAAAGCTGATGTGGACCAACTAAATCAAGTTTTTCTGTCCTAATCATACTTAACATTTTTTATTTAATGAATATGGTGATGTGGACCAATCAGATCAAATTTTTTAATCTCATGTGAACGTCCTCAATGCACTATACCATCAACTTTTATATATTCTATAATTATATATTATAAAAACTAATGGAAATTTTTTTTAAAATAAAAACCTAAGACCAATATTTCAATGGCTGTGTTCAGGGTCAGGACCGGCCCTAATCATAAGTTGGGCCGTCTCTGGAGATTTGGACACAATATTGGAAATCTATGGCTTCGTCGCTGGAAAACAACATAGGGAAATTTCAAACATCCCTCATGAAGTAAGAATCAGTACAAAGAAATGAATAAATATATAACCGAGGAACCATTGGGATAAGGGGAAGTATGCTATGATATCCCTGAGGAACCGTTGGGATAAGGGGAAGTATGCTATGATATCCCTATGTGAATGTGAGGCGCATAATGTCGGTTGGTACTTTAATAATCAAGTTCTAAAATTTAGATAAATATATATATTTGTTAAAGTATTTGGACAATATACTTTTGAATTTTTTTGGTCGAAATATATTTTAGAATTTTAGAATTTTAGAATTTTAACTTTTTGCTTCTCAAAAAAAATATATATATATTCATCTGCATATTTTTTTCAAAAATATACTTGAAAGTCTTTTATTTCAATATGTTTGCTGCATATTTAACTTTTACTTTTTATAAAATTTAAATCTTTTATTTTTTTGAAAATAAAAAGAAACAATACATTTGCTTCATATTTTTCATTCACTTCATATCAAATTATAATTTATTTTTAATTTTTGACACTAAAAAAAGATTATTAAAAATATGTTTGCTGCATATTTTTTTGATAAAAAGGTATTATGAAAGTCTTTCGACCAAAATACTTTCCTTTACCATATTTCATCATCAATAATCTATACTACATCATATAATATATAAAAGTTGATGGTATAGTGCATTGAGGGCGTCCACATGAGATTAAAAGACTCGATATAATTGGTCCACATCAGCATATTCATTAAATAAAAAAATATTAAGTATGATTAGGACAGAAAAACTTGATTTAATTGGTCCACATCAACTTTTAAATCAAACCAAAAATTATTAAGTATAATTAAAACATTAAAAGTTAATTTAACAAATTATGTCCAACAAAAAAAAGTAAATTCAATCTGATTGATCCAAATCAACATATTTATTAAATCAGAAAATGTTAATATGGTTTAAAAATTTAAAAGTTAAATAAAAAAATTAACAATTAACAATACATGTATAAAAATGATCAATTATTAATTTAGTAAAAATCTACAACAACTCGGTTTAACAATTAAAACAATGAAAACTGAATAAAAGTATAACATGAAACTCTTGGAAGACATGATGGAGAAGAAAAAAATGGTTTTGCATGATCATTACAGCTTCCTAACAAAATTAAATGTGAATCAACATGAATCATGAATTATATATACAGTGGTACAAAACATCAATAAGACTTTCAATAAAAAACTAAATATTTAAACACATAAACCTTGAAGAAAAAAAAAACTATAGAAATTCTATGGAAAACAGAAAATAATACAAAAATCTTAGCAAGATTATATTTTTCTAAATCAAATGTATATGTACGTCAAAGTTGGATAATTCGATAGGTGTCATTATTATTATTTTACCTAATAGTTTTTTAAAATTTATAAAAAAAAATAGGATAAATTACACCTTATATACTAAATTCTATTATATAAATGAAAATTTTTATAAATATATATAATTTTTAATAATTTTAAAGATAATAGCTAAAAAATAAACTAAAATATTAGTACGGACTCGCGTGTAGCGCGAATTATATACCTAGTATATAAAAATAAAAGTTATAGGCTATTGAGAATGTCTACATAGAGTGTATAACTCAATTTGATTGGTTTACAATAGCGTTTTTATTAAACACAAAAATGTTAAAAATAATTAATAATTTAAATTAAATAAAATACAGAAAAATAGAAAATTATCATAATAAAATAGAAAATTAAGATAAAAAAATTTAACTAGCAAATCATATAGAAAAATAATACATTAAAAATCCAAATTTATAACGTTTATCAAAATAAAATGGAAATTCAATATCACAAAAGTTAAACTAACAAAAGCAAATATTTAAATTTATAACAAAAAATTTAAATTAATAATTTTTTTAATATATATATTTTAAATGAATAATTAATTTATAAACCCCTAGACTTTTTAGCTTTTGCTTTTTATATTAAAGTTAAATATAGTTTTTAAGTTTTCTGCAGTTTAACCCTTCATCTAAACAAACTTTGCAAGACTACCCTCAATAATAAAAAAAATACAAGTCAAACCCTCAACTTAATAGTCAACCCGCTATATAGCCCACATGTATACTAATGACGTGGCACTGAATAACGACATTAAAACAAACAGAAAACAAAATTATGGGTGGGTATTCCGGTTTATCTTCGGGTTCGATTTGGGTTCAGTTCGGGTTTAGTTCGATCTGGCTAGTTCGATTTTACTAAAACTTTAACCAAATTCAACCAAACTTAATTCGGTTTGGATTCAGTTCGGTTCAGTTTAAACAGAGTTTGATTTGATTCGGTTATAATTAATTTGGATTTATTTAATTTGGTTAACAGATTGCAAAACAAAACCTTATATAAACATAATGCAACATCAATATCTAAATTAAAAAAATTATTATTTTGAATCTGTAAAAAATTAAAATAAAAAATAGATGAAATAACTTCAGTTTTCCTTATAAATGAAATCTAAGTGTTTAGATGTAGTATTAGATTTATGTTTTTTCTTTTGAAATTTGAAAATCAAAAACAATATTTAAATAATAGTATTAAATTGTTAATTATTAAAAATAATTAATATAAATAATTATTAATAATTTAATAATAAAAAAAATACATTGGGTTTTTAGTTCAGTTTGGTTTTAAATCGAACCGAACTGAACTATTCGGGTTGACAAAAATCTAGACCAAAATGGTTTGATATAGATTTTGGTTTGGTTTAGCTCGGTTCGGGTGCGGTTGGTTTGGGTTAATTTACTTTGGTTCGGTTTTTTTTCCATCCCTAAACAAAATGCTGCATTTAAAAAAATAATGATCCCGGAAGCATCTTTACGACACCATTAAACGTTGATCTTTGAAGCATCTCTGAGTGCCTTCTTTCTCTCTTACTCTATGGTAATTATGCTCAAAACAAGGATTTCTGAATTTTCTCATGGTTTATAGGTAAACCTAAGACTTCGATGTTGATTTTTCGAGCTTATAAAGTCGTTCTTGAGGATACTCCGCCAAGTGCTCGACAAAATGTGTCAACCAATCTAACCACGTCACACCAAGGCCCTTTAACTTTGGCGTTCATCTTTCGTTCTGTCGCAACATTGCCATTATTTCGACTTCCCAATATTGTCTCTTGGCTCTATGACATGAAGAATGACCACCAATGATAAACGCTGCGATTATTGCGACTTCCCAAACTTAGCATTTCTGTATAAATTATCCTAGAAAGAGTGTCCTTACCAGTTAAATCTTTGTTATATTTTCAGAACATTGACTCCAGTACATGACGCTGTGCAAAAGATAACGTTGATACCAAGAGGCTAAGTGAGAGGTCTGACTTGGTCCATTCCATCATATGACCCGACTCTTATCTCCAAGCAACAACTCTTTGCAAGGATTGTTGGTGGACTTGGTGGTAGAGCTGCTGAAGAAGTCATCTTTGGTGAGCCCGAAGTGACTACTGGCGCCGTTGGTAACTTGAAACAGATCACCGGTTTGGCCAAGCAGGTACGTGATAAGTTTGATCTTATACGTGTGAATGATATTGAGATTGTTAGATCGTTTACTTTGCAGATGGTAACAACATTTGGAATGTCTTAGATTAGACCATAGTGGTTGATGGATTCATCGGCTCAAAGTGATGTCATCATGAGTATGATGGCAAGAAACTCCATGTCCGAGAGGCTTCCAGATGCATGACATTGATTCTGCAGTGAAGAAACTATCAGACAGTGCATATGAGATAGCTTTATTTAAGCAACATAAAGAACAATCGTGAAGCCATCTTGTTAAAGTGCTTCTCGAGAAAGAAACTATTGGAGGTGACGAAATCCTGGCTATTCTCTCGGAGTATACTGAGATCCTGCCGGAATATCGGGTTCCTGTTTCAACAACATCAACTCCAACCTCAACACTAACACCATCTTCTGTCGAAAAGTAATGAATCTGTTGTATACTTGTGATGATACTTAATTTTCTGTAATTTTTTTACTGGCAAACTCGAGCTTTAGTAATGTGATACTATTCCAAGTAAATGTTCAAAATTGAATTGGTATATCCACCAAAGCTGAATTGATAATATTCCATAAACTCTCTTATTTTTTACTCCAACTGTTTTGGCAGAGGAGGGAGATGAAGTGATTTCTTAATGGCAGAGGAGGGAGATGAAGAGAATGTTGGAACTTATTTTTGACAAATAGCTCAGGCCAGTTTTCCGGCGATATTTCCGGTGAGCACAGTTACCGAAATGACCGGATTATGGATTCTTTGGATTCGTTGTAATGAGTACTATAAGATAAGATAATGTATTCACTTGTCAAAAACAAAGTTGATTTGAATGAGAAATCTTTGGTCAAGTAAGGAATTTCAAAACTTCATTGACAAACAAGTAAGGAATCGGTTCATCTCGATTCGGGACATGGGTGACAGAAGATATGCCGAAGGGCTTCAAACATGGTTTGCTCTTTCGATATAAGCTCAACCGAGTGTTATATTTAAATTTAAAAACTCTCAAATAGTTATCTGATGTAAAAGAACTTCTCTTTTTTGAGTTAATTTAACATATAATTCAAAAAAAAAAAAGAAATCTTTGGTCAAAGTGGGCATGTAATCAAGACAAAAAGTCAACAAATGTCGAGATGATCATTTGTCCCACATCGAAAGTTGGAAGAATTTTCCATTAGTATATATAGTGACACACTCTCAACAAGGTTCACTAGCTTTAGAAGAGGACACTATGGAAAAGGAGAGACATGACTGTTATGCAAAGCCACACGCGCGCCGGGCCGGGCACGGTCTTGGGTCTTTCGCCCACAATAAGATGTTATTTTTGGAGTAAATATTTATTAACTTATTTTCACAAATATGTTAATATTCTTTAAAGATAATTTGCATAACTCGATAAATCTTTATGATTTAGTCGAAAGTTAATTCTAACTATTATTTGAGAAACATGTTTACTAAAAAAATCCTATGTGTCAACACCTAAAAAAAAGTTAGTGTAAAACAATGCCATGTCATAAATGTGACATGGCAAAATTTCTAAAATAAACGAAATGTTTTGATTGGTTAAGTTAAAACTAAATAAATCTCATTTTTACATAAGAAAAAAGTTTATACCATATGTGAATAAATTTTCATTATATAGCAAGAATTCGAAATTATAAATAAAATAAAAAATTAAACAAAGAGAAAAATAAATTATAAGTATCCTCTTAGCAACTTTTTTATTATAATATTGTATATATGAATAAAAAGTAAAAGTAAAAGTACAAAATGAATCTTTACGACTTTGGTTTTATATACAAATCTCAGGTTATAGTTTTGATTTAAAGCATCTCCAACTCACCTTTATTTTAAATGTTCTAATTTAGAGGAAAAAGAAAGGTTGTTACTTTTTTTCAATTATAGATGAAAAAATAATAATTTTTCTTTTTTTTTTTGTAAAATAGAAATAGATTGGAGAGAATTCCACTTATATTTTAGAGAAAAAAATAAAAAAAAATAAATTTAAGATGATCTTAATATTAAATATATTATTAAAGGTTAAAAAAATATAAATCAAAGAGGAGAAAAAAATAAGAATCAATTTTATGTTTTTATTTCAAATATTTAAAAATATTATCTTACACATATTCATTTTTTCATGCATATATTTTTTCCAGTATATTAAAACATCATTTTATGAATCAAAATTTTTGTATATGTTGTGATCCATTATATTTTGTATTAACAAATATATTAAAGTTAGGAACAGATCAACTCTTAATTTTTAATAAAACAATCAAATATTAAATATATTATTTTATATTTTAAATAATACACAAATAAGTTTGGATCTGATTAGCTTAAACGATTATGTTACACAGAGTTTGTGGAAGAGAGCGATTACGGATTATCAAAAATTTTGACGAAGAGAACGGAGAGCTACCGGAGAATTTTATGAAATATAATTTCAAAAATTTAATAATAAAAATTTATTATATTTCTATTGAGAAACCATATATCATAGAACGCTGAAATTTTTTTTTTTTTGATTAAATACAAAACGATAGAAATAATTTTAGTGATTGTTGTTAAACGCCAATAACTGCATCGTATAAAAACATAACAGTTGCGGAAAATATCAAAAAAACTTACCAACACCTAAATATTATAATTCACTTATTTCTAACTCATACCTAATGCATAAATATATTTATTTTTTTTTTTAAAAAAATCAACCATACGATATAAAATATGGATTACAAAACAGATACTTTGTTATTATTTTTTTAACACATAAAAGTCATACTTCGATTTTCTTACAAATGTGCATATATATATAAATATTAATTGTGTAAAAGTCACACTTGCCTGCAAATTTGTCGTGCATACATTTTATTAACCTCGATTACATTCTAATTTTAATTTTAGTTGTTAGACAATTTATATTTTTCAAAATATCTTTATATGTCATAAGAGCGATGAGGTGGTTGGTACGCACGAATGTGAGGACCAACCATCTACCCACTCTTAAGATAAGTAAATATGGTAAAATTCATTTTGGTTTAATTAACAATATATCAAAAAAATACTTAAAATATATATATATATATATATATATATATATATATATTGGCATGATTATATTGTGTAAAAGTATAGTATAGATAATATTCAAAACATATTATAAAAATTTAATTATTATTTAATATAACTTTTATATCTGCAATTATTTGTTAATGTAATAGCTAGAAAAAATAAAAAATTTCAAAAGACACAAAAAGATAGGAAACGTTCGTGTGAGTGTTGTTGAACACTAAAAATGTATATGTATATAAATATAATGTTTACATAAAATATAAGAAAATTAATCAATACTTAAATATTACAACTAACTATATCTAAAAAAGTTATTCATGCACATGCGTGCGAGTCAAAAATAAAAATTAAATAAATAATTATAGATTTTCATGTTTTCCTATTTATTTAGTTATCATATTTACATTTTTTATCTAAGAAAATATGTTAAAGTCTTACTTAATATTTTTTATCTTCATTTTCTTTTGAAATCTTTATTTTATTATTAATACATAATTAATTATATGCAAATGAAATATTTTTAATATTATACTAATAATAATTAAATATATTAAATATTTTATAGTCTGCACACGGTGCAGACCGATCACCTAGTAATAGAATATTTCCGTAATATGTCTGTTTCGCCCATATCCTTATCAGAAAGGAATAAAAGATTTTTGGAATATTTCCGTTTCTCTTATTCTTTGCGATCAAGTGATACAAGCACTGGATGGTTAATGAAATGGGACGAGAACTTGACCAAACAGCCGAGGAACTCAGGCTATGGAATCAAGGTTTGGGACGGGACGAGAGTGTGATGGTCGGTACGAGGCAAGATGATGGGCAGTACGAGTGGGACGGTATGAATGGACCAGCTGGTATGATGCGTGACGATGGTATCGTAATGCGGGATGATGATGTCGTAATGCGGGACGATGATGTCGTAATGCGGGACGATGGTGGTACGATGGCGTGATGGTGAGACGGTACAGTGGTATGGTATGACGTGACGATGATTTTTGGTCGAGAGGTCGAGGAACTCAGACGATCTGACCGGGTGTTAAACTGACCAAATGGGATGGCCGGGTTGATCGAAGTGTACCATAAAGGCGATGAGAGGGCCTTTGATACAACACGGTTTCTCTTTGGTTTTGGAGGGCTGGTCTCAATGGAAGAAATAACACAAGTTTTGATTACAAACTTTGTGAAAGAAAATTTGGTTCTTTATTAAAATCAAGGTAAAAATACAAGGCTGTGAGAGGGGACCTTATAAAGTGGTCTGAACAGCTATGCCCTTCTAGGAGACTTGAAGCAAAATTACACTTATTGAAAAGCAACATTATTAGAATAAAAAAATGCGAAATTATTGGCTAACAATGTCTTAGCTAATTAAAACAAATAAAATACTTGAATGATAAAGATCATAAGGAGAAAACACAAAGATGTTAGTCAAATAAATCAATATAATTTAACGAGACTGAAGACTTACCTTCTTTGGCTTTGGCGTGAGTAAAGTGTGATGTACTCTCCTTTGACCGTGATCCTTGGTTTCTAAGTGGTTTTCTCAAGTGTAGAGATCACAAATAAATTGGCGTGGGCTTTGTTTGACAATAAGGACAAGCTTACTTGTGTCTTTGTTGGATTCGTGGCTTCTAAGACATCCCATGTATCATTCCATGCAGCTTTAGCTAATAAACTTGGGCTTCCTTCATTAGGCTCGGTCATGGCTCGTAAATTAGCTTGATTGTATTTTTCTTAAAGTGCATGGGCCCTTTGTCTTGTTATAACTCCTTTGTTTGGGACGAGTACTTCTATTGCTTGTAGTTGAGGCTCGGTTAAGTCCGGTTCAATGAAGATGTCCTCATCATTCCCTCCCTATTGAATAGATTTTGACCCCAAAATATTTTCATCTGCAAGAAAAGGGGCTAAATCAGTAACATTGAATGTATAGGATACATTTAACTCACCTGGTAGTTCAAGACGGTAGGCATTGTTGTTGATTCTTTCTAAGACTTTGAATGGGCCGTCTCCTCTTGGTTTGAGCTTTGAACTTTTTTGGTCGGGGAATCTTTCTTTCCTCATGTGCAGTCAAACCCATTCTCCTGGTTAAAAGACTATCCCTTTTCTTCCTTTGT